GATCCCGATATCTTCCAAATACTCAAGGTACGCATGTGCTGGCCGACACCCAAAGGTGACGAAGCCATACTAACATGCATTTGAAGTAATGAACATAAATAAAACTTATAAATTTAAATACAATTCTTTTGCAATTGAGGAATGTCTTCAGAGCATACAACTAATCTAGATGTTAAAAAGAATAATATAAAATTGAATGAACAAAGAGATGGGTCCTACACTGAGAGGACTCAAAGATGCCAATGCGGGAGTGCCTTAACGCCGAGATTGTACGCCTTGAATCTAAGTCCTAAGGGGCGCAAAACAAACATAAGTGGACCAAGTTAATATATAAGTAGTACTAACATAGTTATTCAGCAACGTACTAACCCCCAAAGTTTATAAAAACTGAATAGTATAATATGTAGTAGGCTTTCTTAAAACCTTAGCATGCCATAAAACCTTTCATAAAACATATGTCATATATAATGTGCAAAATAGTGGTATCATAATCAACCGAAACCCTTACATCACCCGACCTGTAGGCCAAATATAATATATCCTCCGACCCATAGGCCCCTACATCACCCGACCTACATCACCCGACCTAATTCACCCGACTCGTAGGCCAAATATAATATCTTCCGACCTGTAGGCCCCTACATCACCCGACCAAAGCCAATATAAGTATCATCGACTGTAGGCAGAACAGTGACCACTAGATAAGCACAAAAACATTGAATATAATCTTTCCAAAATACTTACATATATCTCAAAACATCTTCATAGTATATAGTCATCCATCATATATACTACAAAGAGTGTAAACACATGTTCATAAATAGTATATAGTCATCCATCATATATACTACAAAGAACATAAATTCAATAAAGTGTGGTATTCCAAAATAATCTCGGTAAAGCATGATAATCATAAAGTGTAAATCTAATTTACTCATAAAACTTAACCATTAAATCATGCTTTTCATCTATGCATTTTTACTATTAAAACATGCACTTTAGAAGGGGTCCACTCACCTTACACTGTTGACGAAGAGCTATGCAAACAAGAGAGCACATAAATGCCATACACAATTGCACCTAAGCACATAAAGGTACCAATTAATAAAACACTATCATAATATTGAATTTGGGAAAACGGATGTCGGAAACAGATCCAGGACGTCGAAATTAGCGTAGGAGGGGTCTCGACCAAAACCTGAAAAAGTCAACATTAGGTGGTCAACGATCAATGTTAACCCGAAGTCCATAGTCAAATGAGTCGGGTTAACCAGGTCACTGGGTTTGGGCCGAATCAATGGCCTAAGGTTTTTAGGCCTAGACTTTGGGCCAGGTTCATGGCCCAAAGGCTTGTTTTGAAATGGGTTTTGGTTAGGCTCAAAGGGTTTGGGTTTGGGGTTACCGGGCCGAATGCCCGAGTTCGCATAGCCCATGGGCCTGGATTAAATAGGGTTTTGGTTGTGGGTTAAGCTGAAGGCCCTGTTTAGGCTTGGGCAGCCCCGCCCAAGGGTTTCTAGGTTGAAAAGCCCCAAGGTCTGGTTCGAGCTTGCAACAGGGTTAGGTTCAACTTGGGTTATAGGCTGAGCAAGTGGGCCAAGTTCCTTGGCCCAACAAGTTGGGTCTGTCAAGTGCCTCCGAGCCGGGCCTAACCCATTTTTGAGGCCTAGTTTGGCAGTTTTCAACACAAAAGAACGTCGGAGCTTCCCAAGCTCTGGCCAACCTCGATTCTAACACTAAAATCAATTATTTAACTATGAAAATGAAGCTATGGGGATAGGGAAGAGAATCATACCACAGTTAGGTTCGGTTGTGGTGGGGAAGTGATCGGGAAAACCAAGTGAAGTCGTGGTCCATCATCGGAGCACACGGCTTCCTCGAGTCTCGAGTCACGTCATTGAAGCAGATGGTGGTTCCATCGATGCCAAGCGTTTAATGAGGGTGGTGGTGAGTGGTTGCAAGTGTGGGTGTGGGTATAGCTCGAGGAAAGGGATAGCACAGAGAGAAAGAGAGCTCGGGGGAGAGAGGTCCGATGGTGAGAAAGGGTTAGGAGCTTCAAAAAGAAGGGGAGAAAGTGGGGAGAGGATTGCCACGTGGCAGTCCAATAAGAAAAGAGAGTCGGGGGACCAAAATCAGGGGTAGGCCCCACCTGGGCACACCAATTAATAACCAAAAAGTAACCAATTTAAAATATCAAGCCCAAACACAATGAAATTATGAAAATATCCTTTCGTTCTGTAAAATCTAGGACGGGTTGTTACAGTTTCCACCAATTAACAACGTATTCATTCAAAAAATTGTGACTGTAATGATGACATTTACGGACAAACAAAAGATGTAGAGATTCAAATATGCAATATACACAGTATTAACTATATATTATTTCTTTACAACTACATTAGTGAATAAAGAACCCAGCTTACCCTATACGGCTAGGTTTGATTTAGTAATTGTTATACGCCTTTGCCTTGCGTAGATTTCTGGATTGTAAAATAGATATGAATAAGATTACTCCAATGGCAGTGACGCCTATATGGGAACAGTGAAATGGATTGTAAATTTGAATTATATTATCATACGTTTACTGCTTTAGTTGTAGGATAATATAAATGATTATGATCAATAAATAAAGCAGTAAAAAGGAAAAGGTAAAGAATGATCTGGCTTGTGATATCAAGAGAGGCGAGTTGTCATTGTCCTAAAGCCTTAGACGCTTCCCTAAGTGCCGGTTATAACGGCTATCTACAACTCCAAGATTCAACCCTTGAATCTCATAGAGCGTCTAATCCATAAGCACGATTACGGTAGACGAGGTGCCAAATAGTGATCAATTGTACATTGATGATCAAGATGAGTAGGAAGATAAAAAGGATTATATATGAGTGTTGTAGTAGGGAGAGAAGGAAAACATTTGAACATTTATTGACGTTTGAGGAGTTCCCCATTTATAAAACTCTATATAATCTTTGGTGAAAGACATGACTTCTCTAATAGATATGACTCTTCATATTTATTATTTAAAATAATAATAAATAAAATTTTGAAGCTTTAAGAAAATAAAATAAATAACCAACAATAGTTCATGCTCAAAATCATCATAAAACTAATGTAAATGACCCACAATAAAAGTAGTAGCCATATTGGCAGTAGATTTGCAACATAAGCATGTACTTATGAGGCTTCAATTTGCTATAAAATCTGCCTATATTCCCCATTCGTCTGTCAATATTCCAGTAATTAGTCAGTCCCTTTTGTGTAAATTTTATCGTCTGTTCATAACTAGATTGAAAGACGATAACAAATAAAATGAAAGTAAATCATGAAACTATTGTAAATTATCGTCTTGCAGGACAACTATGTCTATGTACATTTAGTTGACAATAACTATTCTTGAAAATTTGTGTCAGTAAGTTTATGTCCGCTAGGTTGGCCATTTCCTTTCAGCTCACAAGCGGTTTGACGTTGCTGTAATCTTCCATCAGGATGATTCATTGGATGATCGATCAATTGAACCTCCTTCATGTGAGCCAGAAAGCGATTAAAATGCCTAGTGCTTCTACTGCCGTTGGTGTCAAAATTTTCAGACATATATTGTAGCCTCTACTTATACACCAAACAGAGTGGTGAGATCAAGGAAGGTGTCTTCACTGCAGGGGATTGTGAGACCACCCATTGGATGATCATATCCAAATTCATCTTCAGCCAGGCTTAACAAATCTTGGAATGAAGGTTGGTTCAAGTAGGACACCGGAATCACAAACCGCTTCTTCTGGCTCTCCCCAACGTAGATGGCAAGATAGCCTTTTGGAACATCCAATGATTTTGAAGAAACTTGACTTTTCTTGGCATGTACAAGTAATACCAGGAAATCGGAAACCCATGTTTTTGAAATTTCTCTGAAAAAGGAACACTAAAGAGTTCAGGACAGAAAGAGCTTTGATAAGATATGACTGGGAGTAGAAGACTTGTGTTGGCTTGCTCCTGAACCTTGGATGATTGAGCATATATAGTTAAAAGAGCCATCGGTTACCTAAAATGATTGGTGATTAAGCACTGGGATGGACCCAAGTGAGAGATAGTTTGCTCATGGACAATCATAGGGACTTGTCTATAAGTTATCAACAACACTTCACGAGTCGATGACCAAAAGAAAGCACAATGTCCTACCACTCTTAATTGAAGGCTTATAGAAAATCAGAGACATGCTTGAGACAAGAATTTTTCCCATGGTGTTATTTCAACAGTTTTAGCATATAAAATGTTAGGACTTAGTACAAAAAATTGATACGTTGGTCTACAAAATAATCTGTACAAGAGAGAGTGGTCTGGAGGCAATTGAATGCAGATTGGCTAGTGACCCAGCTGCTCAAGCATTTGAATGTTCACATGGCTCTGTCTTCCAATGTTTCAAGGAGGCGACGGAAAAAAATACAATTGGTGAAAGACCGTGGCAGAGCCAAGTGAAAGTCATTTTCTCAAGGAAAAATTACATGGACTTCTCTTTCCAACTAATCAAGAAAAATGTACGAGTGGAAATGAAGATTAACTATACAACATAATGTCCTACTCATGTTCGGAAGATAGGACGACAAGATCATTGGTAATCCCAACAATCAACTTAATGTTAAAAGAAAGTATGAGTGAGTGGTCTGCGGAAAATTGAATGGGACTGAAAAAAAATCTAAAGACAGAAGCATTTGCAAGTTCACATGGCTCTGTCTTCAAATTCATCATCTCGTCAAAATATATTGGTAGTGATTGAGACTATATATCTGTTGAAGTTCTGCATTCTGTCCAGCAATATCTCACCTAAAATATTGAAGTTCAGGTGGAAAACAGCACCATGTGATCCCTCATGAGACAGTGTTCCCTTCTATGTCCTATCAAGATGGTCTTAATTGTCACCACATATTTCTTTCAAAGGAAGACAAATCCTACATAAAACTTTAACTATATATACTTCATGAGACTTTCATTGCCATCCATAAGTCTCTTCATATTCTCAACTCTTCTCTTCTTCTTCTTCCTCCTATTAACTTCCACCTGACATTTCTCTAGCGAGACATAAAACCATGGGTTTCCATCGTCCAAGTGTAACTCATGCAAAGAAAGTTCTTTGGCGGTCTTTTTCAAATTCAAGTCGCGGAGGTTCATATAACTTAGTAGATGTCCCAAAAGGTTTTTTAGCTGTTTACGTTGGGGAGAACGAGAGACAGCGGTTTGTCATTCCTGTATCATATCTCAATCAACCTTCATTCCAAGACTTGCTAAGTGAGGCTGAACAAGAATTTGGATTTGATCATCCAATGGGTGGTCTAACAATTCCCTGCAGACAAGATACCTTCATTGATATTATTTCTCGGTTTTGAATACATTGTGATTACTTGAGCTGCGTTAGATTTTCGTAAAGCAAAAATTTTCTACACACACTACAATTTTTTTTCCTTCTGTGAGTTTCTGAAGGATGATGTAAATGAAGATTGTAATAGCAACTTTTATAACAATAGTTTCTTTACAAGACGAGTATCTCTTATCTACCACTAGCTAGGTCAAAAGTGTGAGGCATAACCGTGGTCCGTGAAGAATTACATGATTTGGTAACGCTTTGGTTGTAGGATGTAATTATGAAATTTTTTGTGAGGAGAAAAAACTGTATCTTTGAATGATGTAAATAAAAAGGGGTGTGCTATCCACACACCCCATTTTACTTCTCACACACCCTTGATAATTTATGTCCGTTGATCTTCTTCAATTCATCCGATCCGACGGTTAAAAATTAAAAAGGTGTGTAAGAAGTAAAATAGGGTGTGAAAATCACACCCCAATAAAAATTCCCGGGGAATATTATTTTACTGTGAAATTAACAGCTCGGTTCTACAATATTTGTAATTGTGCGGTACCATGTTTTTTGTTGGAATCTCACATCGAATGTTTGACAAAACAATTTACATCTTATAGTAATAATTACATGATTTCATTCCGAAATACACCAAAGCGTTTAGGAACTCACTACTTTGGCTAGCCAACTTAGCTAGGCCTTACTATATGGAACTTATTACTTTACAGAGGTTGTATGGATACAAATCACTCAATCAATAGCGTAGCACATAAGGTCATAGGCTAACAAATCCCTCCTTATACATTTGATTTATCACGGTTGAAATGTCACGCCCGATCGTGAGATAATCAAAAATTGACGGGAGATTGAAAGAAGTAGGAACAAAATAAGCTAAGCACAGTGAGGGTAACTAAAACTCTACTTACTAGTTCTTTCTGATGAGTCGATTTCAAACTATATATTTTACCCTATTCTTAGTATAATTTATTATTTATTTTGGTGAGATTTTGATACTTTGATTTATATTTCCAATGTAGGACTTGTGACTTACTCTTGAGCAAAATATGATCATATGGATGAATTTTGGAGTGATTCCTATTGGAGGATGTTCGTGAGCCCCTCAGCTTTTTCGTGTCAAAGTTTCAAATTTTTCTACCAAGCGGTTAATTTATGGTGATGAAATAAAGGGCTAGTGCACAAAAAAGAGTCATCTTGTGCCTGATTTGGAGCCCTGAAGATCCAGAAACATGATTAATTGTCAGATGAGCATATTTCTTAATTAGATTTGGATTGTGATTTTAAGTTATCATTTTCTTATTTTGTTTCCTAGTTTTTAGAAGACCTTTCCTAAGAAGGATTTTTTATTTTTAGTAGTATTGTAAACAAGAAATTCCTGCGATAAATCACACAAGAACATGTGTACAAAATAATATATGTATTAAAGAATTTGTAGGGTTACAATCTCTTTACAAACTTGGATCCTCTAATTTGATCTCTGGGTGAAAAATGTGTGTGTTGTTGATCCGAGCATTGCGATGACTTGATCTCGAATGAACGAGCACCTTAAAGTTTTGGCTTGTGGCGATGGAGGAACCGGCACGTGTAGGGGTGTTTGGTGGTTCTTCACAGGAATGATGAAGAATGCGGAGAGTTTTCAAAATCTTCTAAGTGTTTGAGAATTTGGGAGTTTGGGAGCTTGAGAGTTTCAACATCTGGATGTGAGAATGATTTTCTAGACCTTTCTTTGTCTTGGAGCCTCGTATTTATAGGCTCTCCAAGTCTTGCCTACAACTGAATTTGGCATTGATTGTGGACTTGATTAATTGACAAAAGAAGCAAAACTTGAGTTTTAGGCTTGGTTCGTGATTTGACTTCATCAAATAATCAAATCACATTTTAAATTTATATCAATTGGCTTGTTTGATTTAAATTAAAATTATCAAAAAGTTAATAAACATAATTCCTTAACTAACTTCCGTTAAATGTTGACACATGTCACTTTTGATGACTCGTCCAGTTTTTTATGAATCATATGCCATGTGTATGGTGTATGCCACGTAAGTCTTAGCACGTGGAAATTTAATGTGTTGGAGAACTCGGTTTAGAAAGCTTTTGACAATTCAAGTTTATTTACAAGGTGTTTTCAATCCATGTTCTTAATAATATTTTATTGGTTTTTAATTATGATTATGTGTAACTAATTCCTTTGACTAGGGCGAGGCCACAAACCTTAGCATGAATATGTGATTTTATTAATTTACTTATGAATGGATGCATTCTTGCTTTGAATTATTAATTACCATGTTTAAGCTATCTACATGTCTTAATGCTTGATCACTATTGACACACCCCGACCGGAGTTGAGACATGTTAGCCGTCACGTGAGGGTGATGTAGCCAAGTGCACAACAGAAGTGATAATAATAAGAAAATATGAATAAATAAAAACCAAAACTAAACTTATTTAACTAGAGATAATATGTAAGTGTGTGAAAGTGATCAAGTATAAGATACACGCATATCAAAGCATAGGTAAAACGAAAGTGCAGTCAAACTAACTAAGTATTAATTATACAATAGGGAGAAGATCCCTACTTTTATTTATGGAAACGTTAGAAATGTCGTGTAGTCCTCGTGAGCCACCAAAGATGAACAACTACCTAGAACCTGGAGGGGCGCAAAACAAAAGGGTGAGTGGGTAAAAACAAAGCGTTTGAAAACATATTTATCTTTATGAACATAATAACCCCTCTTCGTAAAACCCGTATAGTTTCCAGAAAATACTACTACGTAGGTATGAAAACCAATGCACAAGAGCAGCGAAAACTGAAGTATGCCATGTCATGATATCTCAGTAATAATAAATGTAAGCCAGGTGTGAAACCAATATAAAATAGTATGCCAGTCGGAGTCACTTAACGTGACCTGTACGACTGGACCTGTAGCTCATCAATCTAGGTTAGCACATGAGTCAGAGTCACCTAGTGTGACCTATACGACATGCTAGGTATAAATATGTACGCTCAAGTATTACAATCGCATGAAGGCTGTGCGATAATTCGCAGGTCACCTACAAGTCGAAACCACTTATTGTGGTCTGTATGACAGCTTGGCACCAAACTTAGATCCAAGCTAAGCGTGCAGTGCGGGAGGTGAACAATCACGTGAAGGTTGGCCCTAGCCCCTAGCAGGAGCACTAATACCAGGGTACATCCATGATGAACTCTAAATAAATGTGCATACGAATACAATACAACCCATTCAATCACATAATGCTCACCTGAAACTTACCTGAGTCTCCGCAGCATCACACAATACAATTCGTAAGTGTAACAATGCAATATTTAAAAGGTAACTTATTTACGACATGGCAAGCAAAGCATAGTTCCATATAAAAACGCTTCTGGAAACTATATATATATATAGAAAACAAATGCCCTCTCACTGATAAGTAGCAGGTTCGTAGCCCCCTAGCTACGCTTGTCCACGCTCGTCCTCGGGGTACGTCTCACCTATATGCGATATAACTATTTTTACGTTAATTAATTAGCACGTAAACAAAGCCTAGGATTAATTTGTCATACATTGCTCAAATAGGGTGTTTGAATATACCAACATGATCTACTCGACAACACGAACACCCCCATATTTTTAGAAATTTTTTTGGATGTTGGACGCGCCTTCACACGCAGGCACATGCTTGGCACACAGGACAGAAACCCTAACGGCGTTAGGAATATTCCGTTAAAATAGCACAATATTCTGTTAAATTCTAACGGTGTTACCTGACGTCGTTAGAATATTCTATCAACTTTGACGGAATATTCTTCTTCTTCTCCGGTGGACCACGTTGGTTTCCATCGCCCACCGCTGTCTGGTTTGCTGGTTTCTGGAAAATTTTCAAAGCTTAATATCTACTTCATTTCTCAACCAAAATCCATGAAATTTATATGGATTTGAAGGTATTGAGGAGTAGAACACATTCGTACCTATTAAGAGTTCAAAATCCCATGAAAAACAATCAGAAAATTCCTTGGAAAATCTGGCCAATTCTACAACTTTTCAAACTCGCCTATACCGATGTCCGCTTCACTCCAAAACTACTCCAAAGTGTTAGGGAAGTTGCGTAGATACCTTTCCAAACCTTAAAACCTAGAAACCATGCCGGGATCGCGTTTGAGCAACTGGGCTCCTCGTCGGAGCTCGTGAGTCGACGATCAAAACTGAAACCTAAGGGTATGGCTAGGTTCGTGAGTTTATGAGGAGTGTGATGGTAGTCTTCGTAGGTTCCATCCGTGCTGTTTTGGTGTGGTTTATGCGTGTGGGGTGTCTCAGGTGCAGAAGGAAGAAGAAATGAGAAGAGTCGAGAAGGAAAGAGAGAGTGTACGTGTATGTGTGTGTGTGTGATTGGCCAGAATCAGAAAATAATATTTCTGATTGGGCCGCCGTGAGAAAGATAGAGTTCCAATTGGCCCAAAGAAAGATAAAAGCCGAAAATCTGATTGGTTTAGAGGTAATAGGAGCTAATATAATTGGTTCGTGATTTACCCGTTTACATATTCAATTAATTGTAACTTTTTCGTTACGAATCCGATTCGGCCCTAACTCACGTCGAAGCGCTCGTGACGTCAAGTACGGTTTAATTACGACAGCGAGGAAATACTTTGATATTACATATGTACATCCACGTCACTAAGCCAATGAGAGTAATATCATCACTTTACACACTAGGGGAGAAAATATATATAATAATTTGGGACGGGTCGTCACAACTATTAAGGTATTTAGACAAGTAATTTGATGTAATTTTTATTGGAACATCACCTGAAATTGTGGAGGGCTTCTTGTGATTGATAATTGTAATTTTACTCAAGGAAAACATCATGCTCTTAAGGGTTGCATGGTTTTTCAAAAGGTTTTCACAGAGCTTAATGAATCTTGCATGTTTATGTTTATTTGAACATCACAAATGGATTGCATGTTAGATATACATTCTTACTTGAACATCACGAGGAGAATATGCATTGAAAAAACCTAACATTCAAAGGATGTACGTTGAAATTCATAAGTAATTGGTAAAATTGCATAGGATTGTTAATGGTGACGGCTGAACCTCAGTGTTTTTAACAATTTGATTTTCAAAAGCCGTTTTCTTTAGTTTATTTTACTTTTGCTGAATCCTTTAAATTATTTCTATTAAAATTCGTTTTTATTATTTTAAGTCATAAAATAAATCTTTTCTAAACTTTGTTTTAAATAGTTAATTAAGGATTAATTTAAATACAAGTTATTCATTCAATCCCTATGGGAAACGACCTTACTTGAGCGGTTTATGCTACAATTACCTTGTTCTCACGCTAGCATTTTTAAGTGTTTTTATCCCTACTTTTGCAGGCGGTAAAAATCCTATC